AAAAAAATCCAGAGTGGTAGTTTGGAGTGCTTAAACATTACTTCTCCACTATTTTTAACGTTGTGGAATTAAATCTTTTTATTAATTTAATATTATCATGATAGGTTTTAAAGAAGGAAAAAAATAAACAAATGCTATAATCTGGCACCCTTAACTACTAACTTTTCAATGATTCCTGTCAAAATGCTTCCTGATCAGTGTTCTCCAAAGGACACAGAACTATCAATTAATTGGTATGTTTTCAGCACTTATCAGACTGGACCTCTCCATTAATCCCTCCCACAAAAATCTTTTTTTCCTGGATAGGTTTTGTTTTTCTCTGGGTAAGCTTTAACATTATAATTTTTCATCTAGACCTCTTATTATTCTGTCTTGCACCCTTCATTATTTCTTCCTCTGCCTACATCATTTTTAAGTTTTAATTAATTACTTAACACAGAACAAAAAAAATCACTTTTTGGCTTTTAATTTATGTTTTCATGGTATATCTCTTTCTAGCCTTTTGGTTTTATCTACTTATATCATAATATTTAAAGTGTGTTTCTTATGACCAGAATGTATTGGCAATTTTTTACATTTTCCACCTGACATTCTCATTATATATTTGGTATCTTTTCACCATTCCTATTTGATATAAATGATATATATATATTTATATGATTCCATTTGAGTATTTTACATTTGTTTTCTGCTGACCTCTTATGTTTCTCTGTTTCTTCTTTCCAGATTTATTTTCGATTCTTTCAATACTTATATCCAATTTTAATTTGTTTACTTTTCACAGAAGTCACATTTTAGCACACCCTTGAATGAAAAAAGGGCGTGAACCACACACTTAGATGAGTAAGCAGAGCATGGAATGCTTAGGGAACAGCCTGTGTGAAGGCAGGAAGGGAGTCTGGCCCCTTCAGACTCACGAAAGGCCAGACTGGAGTGAGCAGGGAGGAGAAAAGAAGAAGTGCAATGACACTGAAGAGCTGAGCAGCAGTCAGATCACACAGGCTCTTGGCTGGTCAAGAGTTCAGGTTCCAATCTACTACGATGAGAGACACTGGCAGTTTTGAGCAGAGATATGACTTTACCTACTCTGTGTGTGGGCAGCATGAAGAAAGGTAAGCGTGGAAGCAGAAAGGGCAGTTGGGAAACTAGGACAGTATTCCAAGCCCAAGGATTCTGTTCTGAGATCTAAGTTTAGATCTGGCCCAGTGCTTACTGGTTGAGAGGAAGATAGTGGTCACAATTATGAAAACTGATTTAACTCAAAATACACTTTAGTTGTAGAGCCAATTGGGCTTGCTGATCATCAGTTAGACGTGGGGTGTGAGGAAAGATCGGGGTCAAGAATGATTCCCACTCAACCATCAGCTCCCAAGGAATAAGAGCCGTCTTGTTTATTTCCAGTCCACTAACTGGAAAAACAGAGTATCTGGACTCAAGCAAAGTCCAGTTCAGATTTTTCCCTGGTGCTTACTTGTTGAAAGATCTTATAGTTATAAATCCTGTGTCACTGTGGAATCTGGAATGTATCAATTGTGTAATAGGGATCGTGTTGTCCTTTAGTGCTGTAGTTGGTAGGTAACACGGGCTGTGTGCTTAATTCCCCAACAGCTTTGCACTCCACCTCTATTTTTCTTCCTCCACCCCAATTCTGTTGCCCAAATTTCCAGTTTTCTTATCTACAACAAACAGAAAAATTCTTTAGTTGCTATACCGGAGGTGGTCCCTGATAGTGTATCTCAAAGATATTTTTCAATATATCAAAAAAGTCTAAAGGAATTCAAATGCTAGGATTACATTTCATCATAATGAGAATTGCCTAGAAAGTGATTCTGTTGGATAGAATCACAGAAGATGACTCCAGATGTTGAAAAACCATACAAGCCACACTGGAAAATGGAAAGACTAGGAAATGAATGCTCTAGTACATAACATTACATTGCAGTTCCTCAGAACTGAAGATGCAAAACTGCTGTTACTAAATTGCAAATCTCAAATTGCTATTTTTGCCTTGTTTCTACATTTTACTTCCAAAATTACTATAAAATAAATAATACAAATTAAGTTAAAGTGAAAACTATGAATTTCATTCCTTCTATAATGAAATAAATTTCAAACTGCCTATTTTTTCAGTCTACTACACATGCTTACATCTATTACAATTCTGAATGCCTGTTCCTAAATTTAAATCCTGTCCTCAGAGACCATTCTCAGCAACTATTTCCTACCCTGTTTGAAACAGATTTGATATATTTTCAATGGGGAAAGAGGAAAGCTGAGAATGAGACAGAGCACCAAGCAGCAGACTAAATGACACACAAATCATTTGCCAAATAATTGAGGTCTTAGATTATTTCCCTGGGAGGTGACAGTTTTGATCAAATTAGAATTCCCTTATGTACTGGCCACTTATCTGTAATCAAAATAAAGTAAAAGTACACATTTTTTGCACAGATTCCATTAGTCATTTGAAGTATTTCAATATACTTCTTGCTGCAGTTGTCACTCAATAATATTGTTATTTTATAGCCATAAAAACTTGTTCAGAGAAATTTTCAGAAGAGAATGGGCAAAATCCAGTGATTTCATTTTTACACAGCGACAAGGAAGACTCACCTCTAATGCAAAGCCATACTGCTCTAGTTTGGTGTAGATGAGGCCACGATTAATGAAAGTATTTAATGTTATAGTTTCTCCAGCATCAAGGAGTAGCACAATTCCAAAATCTATCAATGCCTAAAAAGAAAATAATTACTTACAACATAGGTGCAAACTTTTAAAGCCTTATGCCATTGGCCATAGACAAACATGTTTATAACCATGATGGATTTCACAGATCTTTTCGTTTGTTTGTTTGTTAAATTCTTTTATTGGTACATTTTAGGTATACAA